GTTTCTATCCCTTTTCGTCCCTGCCTACCTCATCGCTCCAATGTAGTTGTAGCGGAGCTCGGCAAATTTGCCGATTTGGACTATAAAAAGCGATTGGAATCATACAGAAATCACATTTACAACACAGATCGGTGGAGACATTTTATTATTATTTTCTTTTTTTCTTTTGTTGTTACATTGGAAGAAGAAGAAGAATTGGGAGGGATGAAACCCTCTGTAATGGTCTCACATGCAGAGCACACAGCACACAGTGAAATGTGTTCTCTGCTTTTAACCCATCCTAGCACCAGGAGTCTAGTACTAGGAGCAGTGGGCAGCTATTGTACAGCGCCCGGGGAGCAATGGGAGTGAGGATGTCCGGTGCCTTGCTCAAGGGCACCACGGCAGGGGCGTAGAAGTCCACTCTCCATATTTAGGTCTGGTCGGGGACTTGAACCGGCGACCCTATGGCTCACAGTCCAAGCCCCTACTGACTGAGCCACTGCCGGACATAATATATCATATATATATATATATATGGAGTATGACAGGTGAGGCTCTGGCCCAATTCCAAACCATACCCTACACCAGTGGTCACCAACCTTTTTAAGCCCAAGATCCCCAACCTCGGCCTTCGTGAAAGGCGAGATCTACCTATTGCAGAATTGAGTGAAAAAGACGGCCCAGACAGTACTTCCAATTTGGGGCCTTTTATGTCGGCTAATTGCATCTGAATTACATCAAATCATTTGGTGCAACTTCCCATTTCATTAAACCAAGAACACAACATAACTAACAAGTCAAAAAGGATAAATATATATATTTACATCATACCTATCATTTTAAGTTTCATTCTTTCTTTCATTACAATCCTAAATATATAGGTATAGCTTATTTTCCATTTGTTTGAGTGAATGAGTACATTATTTTGTTGACAGCAACAACAACAAAGACAAAAACAACATCTTGCAGTGAGCAGATAACAAAAAGTGTCATTTTAACTGTGAGGCTTATCCACTGAAGCTTCATGCAAGTGCAACATTTAACATTAAAGGTGGGGTAGGTAATTTCGGAGAAACCAGCTCGAGTGCGTAGAATTTCAAAATACACAACCGGAGAAAATCTGCCACTTCCTTACAGAGCCCCTCCTCCAACACACACAAATGCGCACATGACCAATGAGGGCACGAGATAAGTTTGTGCACAGATGGAAGGCTGACATAGCATATACAACGTTAGTTTAGCCTGATTGATCCGATCTCCATTCAGAAAACAAGCATTTTAAAAGGTTTTTCGCCTGCCGTCTGTCTGCAGACTTGTCAAAGCATTAATTCATGTTTTTTACTAACCGGTATCAGTATGTTGTTATTCCGGCATCATTTTGAAATGTGTAGTACAATTACATCACGGTAAAATATGTTCATTTTGTTGTAGTTGGTAGTGAGTGCAGTGAGTTCAAAAATATGCAGCATCACTTAAAGTCAGTCTATTATTTTCGGGAGCGACAGGGAATGTCTCAAAGATACGTCAATCAAGTGGCACCTGCTAACGGGGTGGTGGATGATAGGCTTACATCTAAAAACTTTATAAAAAAAAAAAATTATTATATTTATTGTTTTACTTTTCTTTCTTTTGTTACTTTTTTTAACGGTGCGCAATCTACCCGCACCACGATCACGATCGACTGGTTGGTGACCACTGCCCTACACACTACCCCTCCGTTTGCGCGTTCGCGCGGAGGGTCTGCCACATTAAGTGCTGTTCCAACCCAACAAGTGTTGAGGGGGAGTGGGTTATCAAGCCCTCAAACAGCGAGTCTGCATCGGTCCTGACTTCACCTGCTGCCCTACCTCACCGGTCTCAACGCTGCTTATGTCCGTCAGGAAACACGCTGTTTACAAACAGTTCCAGCAAACATCCGCTGATAAACTGCGATGTTAACAACCTCATGAGAACCTAATTTTTTCTTTAACTTAGGATCATACCTGTGTTTAGTCTAGAAAAAGGTAAATGTGTGCATTTTATTTTAAAGTTGTGTATATCTACAGACTGTTGCAAAAACTAAGAAGCTTATAAACATCATGTTTAAAACTAAAAGAGCTTTACAAAAAAGTAACATATTTAAAGATGTTTGGAGTTTTATTTTAGTTATTAATTTAATGTTTTGTCAAAGAGATGCTGATTTGAAACCGTTGTTACATACAGTTACGGCATTTCCTGTTTCTGCCGGAGAGAGGGGAGTTTGTCCCAAAGCTTGCCGCTGTATTTACTCCCTCCACCTGAGAGGAGAGAGCCTCGTTAAGCTGCGAGTGGCACTCCTTCACGGAGTTCACTCAGTCACGGAGTGGGAGTGGGTAGGGTGTGGTTTGGAATTGGGCCTCTGCCTCCCCTGCCTCCCCTGATTGCACGTTGCTGCTGTGATTACTATACGCCTTTCATTAATAATTTCAGCGAGAGGGAGGGGGAGCGGCGCTGAGGAACAGCAGACAGTTAACAGTTGCCTGTGTTGACATTCCCCTTATTGTGAGTCAGCAGAGACAGGCTGTGAAGTGTCTTAGGTTCAATTTAGACAACTAATGTCTAGGTTAGTGTTCATGACTTCATGTTTATGTCATCTTAATGGTTAATCTCAATGCACACATATTTTCCGTGCTTTCCAATAGTTTAAAAAAGTTGTATTCCACTGTTAAATAACCTGTTCAACACAAACATGCCACTTGTAAAAATTAAATAACATTTCTGTGAGCTGATATTTGTTTAGTGAGCTTATTGGAGGATGTTCTCTGAAAGATTGAAAAATGTCAATGAAGATGTCGGAATTAGTATTTTTGTTAATAATTACATACAATACATGGAATTTGTGTGTCTGTGTTCCAAGTGAATCTGTGGCCCCCTGGTGGCCAGTACATCAATGATGTGGCCCCCACCACCATCCAAGTTGCCCATCCCTCATATATATTATTCTGAAATGGACCAATCTGCACAATGACTACTTTTACTGTCGCTACTTTAACTATATTTTGATGATAATACTTTTCTACTTTTACTTGAGGAACATTTTGAATGCATGATTTCTACTGTAACAGAGTATTCTTACACTCTGGTACAACATTGTACACTTCAGGGACGGTTTCAATGTTAAATAAGTTCCTTCAATTGGACATGAACCAGAATGCAGCACCCCTCTTCCTCCAGGTGCTGCAGCCTGCTTCTCTGGGTACTCTATGTCCCTATTTAAGACAGTTTCCCCGCATTTGAATCACTATTTCTGCCTTGGAAAGTGACGTTCTCTCCACACTTGTATCATTAATATGGTTCCCTGAAACAATGCACATACTCTGGAGCTCATTGGGGTCCTTCATATGCTTTAATCAGGCGTTTTAACACTTTTTTCCATGAAAAAGATTGTTAATCACTGTCATGGGGCTATATAAATCCAATTCCGGGTAATTCAAAGCACAATTGTACCTTTTACTATTTAAATGTCTTTGAATTATATATTTTTGGGCTAGGAAAGTGACATTTCTGGGTGATTTTGTCAGTTTATGGAGCTTTGCCCACACATCCTGGAGTTTCCATGCCAAATGTGGGTGCTGCCAGGCGGAACCACCCGTGGAAAGAAGAAAAAAGTGAGGAAAACGGTTAATTATATCTTAAAATAATCCAACAGAGTGCCAACAGAGAAGGGGCCCGAAAAAGCTCAACCCTTAGGGGCTTCGGGCCCTTTTTTCCCCTTCTCCGTTGTAAGTTGCAATTGAGAAGGGGAAAAGTGTCCGGGGCTTCATTTCCCCCTCTCCGTCAAAAAATATTCATCCATACATTTTGGACTACAGTCTGCACGAAATCGGAAACCCGGTTTTTGGGTGCACTCAGAAAACAAACGGCTGTCTGCAAACACGGAGGTGAAGTGTCCGCTCACCATGCACTTTGGGTCGGCCTTATTTTGTGCCTCAAGACCCCCCCAGCCTGGTTCTCACAAAAGTTGACTGACAAATGTGCCTCTGGAGGAATGTAAGGGGAGTCGACAGGGGACTCTACCCGCATCACGAGTGCCTATTTTCGGACACTTTTTTTCACTTTTCCGCCCCATGGCCCTGTTGTTTAGTTTGAAAGTGTTCCCCCTCCCGTTTTGTCTTATTGGCCTGATTAGTGTGTGTGTATTTAGGCTCTGTTTTCCCTGTCAGTGGACAGGTAGTGTGTGAGATCCTTGTGGCTGGTGACTGTGTTCACGGGTAACAGTCATATTGAGGCTGTGAATCATGTGCCCATGATTTAATAAATGCCCACACCGGGTTATATTTGAACTCTCTGCCTCTGCCGCCTTGCTTGGTCGGGCCGCTCAATGGCTGTCTCACAGTACACTACCGTACAATACAGAGACATATACAATACACTTATTCCGACATGTGAAACACTGTTCCTCCCTTGTAAAGCGCTTTATTGTAGCCTGCCTTTTTCATGTCCAATTGATGTACTTTATTTAATATTGTATATAATAATAATAATAATAATGGGTTCCATTTATAAAGCACTTCATATTCGAATTCAAATCCCGAAGTGCTACAGGCAGGAACAGTATAAATAGACATGACACAACACGGTAGGATTATTAAAAAGCAATAATAAATAAATAAATAAAAATAAAGATAAAAGGATGGTAAAAAGGTCTAGGCAAAGGCTCTTTTGAAGAGATGGGTTTTGAGGCCTTTTTTAAAAGCCTCCATGCTCTGTGGTGCTCTCATGTGGTCGGGGAGAGCGTTCCACAGACTGGGGGCAGCCGAGCAGAAGGCCCGGTCTCCCATGGTACGGAGCTTAGTCCTGGGGGGTTTGAGCAGGTAGGAGTTGCTGGAGCGGGTGGTCCGCAAGGAGGTATGGGTGGTGAGGAGTTCCTTGAGGTAGGGAGGGGCAGTTCCATGGACACACTGGTGGGTGAGGACGGAGACCTTGAATTCTATCCTCAGTTCTACGGGTAGCCAGTGTAGTGTTTTAAGGATGGGGGTGATGTGGTCATATTTGCGCACCCTCATCAGGATCCTAGCAGCGCTGTTCTGTATGTACTGGAGCTTCTTGATGCTTTTGTTAGGGATCCCGATGAGGAGTGCATTGCAGTAGTCCAGCCTGGAGGAGACAAAGGCGTGGACCAGCTTTTCGGCGTCGGACAGAGTGAGTGTGGGGCGGAGTTTGGCGATGTTCCTGAGGTGATAAAAGGAGTTCTTGCACAGCTGTTTAATGTGGGCCTCAAAGGTCAGATGGGCGTCCATTTTAACACCCAGGTTGGTGACTATTGAGGAGAGGGTAATGTCCTGGCCGGAGAAGGTGATGGTGGTGATGGTGGATGACTAAACCTGGTGTGGGGTGCCAACTATAATGGCTTCGGTCTTGGAGCTGTTGAGTTTCAGGAAGTTGTGCTTCATCCACGCCTGTATCTCCTCCAGGCAGGCAGTGAGTGTGGGTGAAGGCAGGGCTGCAGAGGAGGTAGGGTTGATCCTGAGGTACAGTTGGGTGTCATCAGCGTAACAGTGGAATGATACTCCATGTCGGCTGATGATAGAGCCAAGGGGGAGCATGTAGAGTGTGAAGAGGGTGGGGCCGAGAACTGATCCTTGAGGGACACCACAGGTGACGTTGTGGGTACCCGACTCTGCCTCGCCCAAGGAGACGTACTCTGTTCTCCCGGTGAGGTAAGATCTGAACCAGTCAAGGGGAGAGTCAGAGAGTCCGATGGTGGAGTGCAGACGATGGAGGAGGATGCCGTGATCGACGGTGTCGAAAGCTGCAGTGAGATCGAGGAGGATGAGGAGAGAGGGAGAGCCAGCATCAGCCGTCATCAGCAGGTCGTTGGTGACCCTGACCAGGGCAGTTTCTGTGCTGTGGCCTGAGCGGAAACCAGACTGGAACTTCTCAAAGAGGTTGTTGGAGTTTAGGTGGTCCTGGAGCTGAGCAGCAACTAGTTTTTCCAGCACCTTCGATAGAAAAGGAAGGTTGGAAATGGGTCTGTAGTTGGCCAGGACTCCTGGGTCAAGGGAGGGTTTTTTGAGTCGAGGTTTGATGACAGCGGTTTTTAGGGCAGAGGGGACATGGCCAGCCTGGAGAGAGAGGTTTGCGATCTTAGTGATCATGGGGCTCATGGTACAGATGTAAGATTTCACAATAGCTGACGGAAGGGGGTCCAGGACACAGGTGGAGGGCTTCATCCTCCTAACGATGCCCTCAACCTATGTCTCTGTATTGTACAGTATAGTACAATACATGTACATATACAACACACTTATTCCGACATGTGAAACACTATGTCTTCCTTGTCAAGTGCTGTGATGCGCCCTGGAAGTATCAGACTATTTAAACAATGTTTACCCCATGATTCAAACACTGTTCTAAACCATATTTTAGACTGTCCATTTGATGGAATTCAATTTGTATTGAAATGTCCATGCATTGTACAATATCGTACACTACGTGGATAAATTGATTATATAGTAAATTCCATCAATTGGACACTATTCTGCCATCTGGTGGACTTTTAATGAATTACAGAAACAATTCCAAAACTTTAATATTTTCTATCTCTGAGGGGAAAGCTCGCCTGACCCCCGTTTCTTTCCCATGTGGAAGCCCCCAACGGTGCCAATGCGTGGAGCACCCCGGCTGATTTTAGGTGTACTCTGGGGCAAAGATAAGGGCTTGTCCAATTGGGCACCCTCAGCACTAATGTTAAAGTCCACAGAATGTCAACGAGTCCTTTTAATTCCCTAATAGGAGCAAGGAACAACTGAGAGAAAAGCTAGATGAAAGAGGAAAAGAAACATGGACTCACCATTATTGGAGCAGCGACCCTGCCCTTTGTGCCTGGGCTTAATTGCAGGCGCCGATCTCCACCGTCGATTCTTTGAGTGCCTGGGGTCTGACCACGCGGCGGCCAACCTGGGCCCGCTTACGTCTCGCCGGAAGAGACGGAGGACCCGGACCTCGAGGTGGTGGAGATGGAAGAGCACGATGACGGAGTGCCCTTCATGTTCGCCATGCCAGCGGACCGGGCGGCCCCGTTCGTCGGGGGCGCCGTGGTACTCAGAGATGACACAGATGAAGGTGGGCCAGCCCTGGGCGCTTCCCCAGTTCTGGGGGGCGATGTGTCAAGAGGCAGGTGCAATCGGGGCGTTACCCACTCTGGGCCAACCTCTCCAGGCTTGGCTCCTGAGAGGGACAGGCTGAGACAGGGTGGATTGTCTGACAGTGTTATTCAGTCTATCCAGGCAGCAAGAGCAGGATCCACCACAGGCTGTTACAGGCCGAATTGGCTGGGATTCCAGCGATGGTGTGAGTAGCGGAAAATAGAGCCCCTATCTTGTGAGTTGGGCTCTATTTTGTCTTACTTACAGTTACTGGTGGACAGAGGGCTTGCTCATTCCACAGAGAAAGTGTATGCAGCAGCTATCTCGTCCTGCCATGAGGGATTTGGCGGGAGGTCAGCCTTTAGTCAGCCACTAATGTCGCGTTTTTTACGGGGGGTCAGGAGGCTGCGCCCACTAGTGCACGCCTCCGCCCCGCAGTGGGACCTGCTGGTGCTCGAGGCTCTGGTCACAGAACCATTTGAGCCTCTGGAGCTCTCCTCCCTGAAAGCACTATCGTGGAAGACAGCATTTCTACTTGCCTTAATGTCAGCCAAGACAGTGTCCGAGAGCACACTCTACAAGGGCTGCGGCTGTGTCAACAGCCTTATTTAACAGCGTGAGTGTGGAGGACATAAGCATAAATCCCCTTCATAAAATGTTATCTCTTGGACATGTCTGTCTCCTTTTCATCGTCTGTGCTTGCTGGGGCAACACATTACTGGTGAGGAGGGAGGGGGGCTGTGGGTCAGTGGGCATCTGACCCCCTCCCCGGGCGTAATGCGCTTAAGTCTTTCCCGGGCCCCGGTCCCGGGGGACGTGGTGCGCACTGGGCCCATACGGGGCTGGAGGACTCTTTCCCCCTGCTTTAGGGCAGGAGGGGGGAGCCCTCCACATTATAGTCCATACACACTCTTCACGGGGTGAGCGTGTCTGATTGGGGGACATGGGGCACTTGCACTCTCCCCGTGCTCCTTAGGGACTCGGGAGAGGTGGTGCACAGTGAGCCCATACGGGGCTGAGGACTCTCTCCGTCCGACTATGGGTGGAGGGGGGGAGCCCTCAGCACTGTTTTCCGAGCACACTCTTCACGAGGTAAGCGCGTTAGAGTGTGCTCTGTCAGCCGCAGCCCGGACTGCTCCACGGTTACAACCGAGGTAGAGGTGAGTGAGGTGCAGGCTGCTAACCAGAAAGCCGGTCAGGGACAGTGAGGTGGAACTGTGTTGTTGGACGACAGCGCGTGCATACATCGGGGCGCTGTCTGTCCTATGCTGCTTGCTGAAGAGAAGTGTAGGATGACAGTCAGGAGGAGAGGCCTCCTTTTATACGGTGGGATGCGCGCGCATTCAGGTAGGCCCACCCCGGGGCCGGCTACTTCTATAGAAGTCTCAGTGGATGAATGCTTGCATGATATGATCAAGGGGTAGTACCCATAGAGTCCAGTAGAAGGCTCCGCCTGTGCTTATATAACAAGGGTTACCATACGTAACCCCTCGTTTCTTAATATGTTTAGTATAAGCAGCATATAGTTTGAGTTTGGTGTCTAGGCTCGGGCCTCATCACTCCACAGATTTACAAAGAACGTTGAGTGATGATTAGATAACTATCCCCCGAGCCTACAGGTGGAAGCTGGGGTGGTGGGGCAGGCAAGCAGCAGCACTTGAACGCATCAGAAATGTGACAGAGCCGTATGGAGCTAATTTCCTGCCATAACTCCACAAACAAACTAAACAAGTTTTAGAAATGCCTCATGATTCACTAACAAACACAGTGTGGTTAGCAAATACAAAACACCATCTACAAACTAATGCATTTAGTTTTGCAAATAAAAAATGTATCTATCAAACAAACACATAACATTTTTCTAATAAATCATGTTTCAGAGACAAATTCAGCATAGGTTTTACAAGTACAAAACTTTTTCTTCTCACGTCAGTAAGTTAAAGCAATTAAGTAATTTCAATATTAAAATGTACACTTTTTGTGCAAGTATCACCAGATGAAAATACTTTATTTCACAGGGGGAATTTGGTGTTATAATAAAATATATATAGAAATGGGAAGTTAAAGTAAAAATGTGAAATAAAATATAAAAAATAAGATAAATACTGACATAAAAGAAATTAAAAAGAAATGTGCAGATAAAAATAAAGGCATTTACATAAAAGTATAAATAACAATAAATAAAAAGTAAAATGTGAAAGAAAACATAGAATTCCAAAAGAATAAAATGTTTCTATAACTTACAGTAGAAATGTTAACATTATAATACAATATATATAAATTGTAGAAATATGTATGTTAACATTTATAAAGTGGTGTGATAGTTTTTATAAAGATACTAATAATAAAATACAGATTATTGATTGAAACGTGCAGTTTAATACAGCTTTAACTCAGTCAAATTAGTATTACACAGTTAAATAACCTTGAGGCGCCTTTACCTATAACATCCTTACATGAATCAATTATAGGGTTTAATTATTAGATTGTTTTAATTATAATTATATCTCACATTTCCCCCTCTATCAGCAGCAGGTGTCAGTGTCGCTCAGGCAAAGAAAACCCAGACATGAATTTCTCCAAAAGAGAACTTTCCATGACACACAGGAAACTTTTTATAGAGCTGTGTGTGTGTGTGTGTGTGTGTGTGTGTGTGTGTGTGTGTGTGTGTGTGTGTGTGTGTGTGTGTGTGTGTGTGTGTGTGTGTGTGTGTGTGTGTGTAATAGGATGCAGATGGAGCTGGCTGCAGACTAATGAGGGAAATATGGAATCAGTGGAGGTTTCTCACTGATGCTGATTGTGTATTTCACTCTGTCGCTGTCTCACACACACACACACACACACACACACACACACACACACACACACACACACGCACACACACGTCAGTTATTCGGCTCGCTGTAATGCAAACTGACATTTAGAGATGAGGGAAAAAGAAGGAGCCATGTTGGAGAAAAAACACTTCAAAATGTCCTGAATCTGCAGATACACATCTCGAGAAATATTCCAGCAGAGTTTGAGCAACACAAGCACATTTTAACAGATTCTTACTGGGTGTATTTCCAATAATATAAATCAGATTAAATGCATATTTTAAGGCAGTGCTGTATATATCCAATCACATCGCCCCTATAGTAATATCTCGGTGA